TCAGAGCACGTGCACATAGCATAGGACGAAACCTCGAAGAGTTTCTGTGCGGCACCTTCACCACGTGGTGGTTCAGCACGGAGTAAAGTGAACAAGTTTATGCTGCGTACGTAGCCACATGCTAACATGCGCATGAAGGCCATGGAGAGTGTTCTAGCAATGTGATGTCGCGTCGCCGCGGACGTATCGACGCAATACTCTGGCGCTCCTCACATGACCTGCATGTGAGCCAATACAGCAGATATCTCACTATGACAAAACTACATATATAAGGTAGAGTTAAAGTCTGACAGCTGATCCTCGGCCATGGAGCTGCCATTGAACTGCGGTAGAGTGATGCATATCGATGCGACACCATATGGCGACGATGGTAATGCTTCAGTAGTGACCGAGAGCTGGACAAAGCGCCATCTTGCACAGCTAGCACTGTGATCGTAGAATGTAAGATGACGAGTGAAGACTGAGCAGCTTGATCACCGAAGAACACTGGCTGACTGTTGAAAGGTGATTAGCTTGCCGTCTAAAGAATATCAGTTGACAGGCAGATGGACCACGGACTTGTGGCTAAAAATGGCTGCCAACGAGGGAGAATGGGTAGCAAGCGGTAAGGAGAATTATAATCGGCCTAATGCTTGCGTCTCTTCAAGGGGATCGGTGAGTCCAAGATCCTGTTACGTCCCCCACGGCAAATCATGCAGGAGACGGAACACAGACTGGCACTGTGATCCGAGCGCAGGCAGCGATCGCATAATTGCAGCCTGCGCTCGGATCCATTTTGCACCCGCATTCACATAACGTTTGCACGAGTACTTGTCACATTATCGCACCTCTTTTAAGTGTCGATTATTGGTAACTTATCATCTTTATGCCTCTGATGGTGTTGGCTGCCCTTCCAACCAGACTTTCTTCTCGGAGGATAATTTCTTCCATGGTACTGAGCGTCCAAATGTTTGTAAACCATCATTTTGTATATAGCCCATCTTCTTCTGAAAATTAGTCGATTGTCCCCCACCAGCAAACCTAGGAATGTTCTTCCGCGCGAAGGTTCAATTCCCAAACTTGCATTCCTTTCCCCTCGGCTAGGTCGCACTTATCACTAGCAGCTTAGTAGCTTCATCGCACCAACATGTGTCGCTAAGTGTCCTCTCTCAGCGTATGTTGACGTTTAACCATATGCGGTGTTTCGTTCGGATGGATGCAATTGGAACTAGGCATTCGCATTCTATCTAAAACGGTGTGTCGGTTCCGTAACCATTGAAGGAACACCGTTTTACCACATCGTCCGGGATGATTTCGCTGAGAATGACTTCATTTCTGTCTTCACAAGCATAATTTTTCGAGACAAATGTTATTTAAAGCCCTTATCATAGTCTTCGAAGCGAACTCAGGGTAAAGCGAGTTCTCCAGGGATATGGAACTGCCTGCCGACATTCTTGAAGAGCAGATTGTTCGCCTCTTCTTTCTCTCCGCCCTGTTAAAAAATTCGAAGAACTTTTTTCACTACTTTTCATCATAGCCGCGTGCGCTTGAATTACTGGCTCAAGAATTCTCAGCAGTTCATCTCGAGCTTATCATTGCAATAGCGTTTTTTATTGATGACACATTGGTGCAGAAATCAGCTGTTTCGCTTGTCTTGGTTGGGTATTTCATATCTGCTGTGTACAGAGGTGTCATATCAATTCATCATCATTGTCTACGCTCTGGGACGTCCTGTCCAACGTAGCCCGCTAGAGCTCTTATAATAGAGTGCTATTCCAAAGACTATGTGCGCTTTTTTTTAAGAATGAATCGACGGTATAATTCGTCGAATTAGTCGATGATGTCCTTTTGACGTATTCGAGCGCTTTTTGTGGCGAGAGATTAGTCCCTAATCGCGAGCCTAGTTCTCTCTTTCGAAAGATTGCAAGAAAGATACACGGGTTGTACCTGAAAGTTGTGGTGGGTGATGTACCAGCTGTGCGGCACCTTTACCTTTCTTTTCTGCTGGTCCAGCGAAGAGTAAAATGCACAACTTTGTGCAGCGTATGTGGCTAGACGACTAATATGCGTATGAAGGGCGTGGGGGCGGTGCTTATGGTTAGCCGTAGGATGTCGCGTTACTGCGGGCGCCTCGACGCGGCATGTTCTGTCGATGCAATATTGCAATATTTACTGGTATATACCAAGGTTTAGTGATGGGCAGCTGTGTAGCACCTCTTTTCATAACCATATTCATGGACCGTTTGGAAAGGCGGCCGTACTCATAAGAACCGCTTTTCTTTAATCGCAATATAGATGATGCTTTTATAAAGTCCAGAACGGCACACCGTCAGACATGTACCACGCTGATTGCAGCCAAATATCCTGTGTTCTAGGCTGATTTCTTGAATACTGACTTTACTTGCCATCACAACTTGTTTCGCCAAGACATAGAACTGGGTGGGCTTCTTTTGCTTCAGTAATTCCTCTATGGATGACATTTACCAGAGATTTTGTAGGGTGGTGTACAATGGGCTTGCGCATACTGTTCCTTTTAAGTCTATCAGTGCATCTGGTCTGAAGTACCCTCTCCATATAACCAACTTACTACAGCAGAAAGAACGTCTTTTTTCAGAACTGAGCTCTCCCTCTGGCGCCGGCAAATGCTGCTCTATAGAAAAGTTGCTCTGATTTGAACCATCATCTGAAGAAGTTTCTCGCTAACTATGAGCACAGGCTTGGATCCCATGCTTCATTGCATCGGCTTTTCCACTACTTTCGGCGGAAGCTCACCCCGAATCACCTCCTCCCCACACTTGTTGACGACATGGGTAGGATGTACCGTAGTGACGCGGATAAAGCAGAGGCACTCGCTAATCATTTCTCTAGTACATTCACGTCTAACTTCTCTCAAGAATGGGATCTCACCTCATTCCCTCACGTTGCTGACAGCCTCACCGAGGTCTTCTTTGACCCGAACGCCGTTTCCACCATCCTAAAGCAGCTTCATCCCTCAACTACTGAACCATTTGATGGGATCCCTCAAATAGTTTACAAAAAATGTCACTTTTCGCTGTGTAAGCCTCTGGCTATGATGTTCAACCTCTCCTTCCTAACAGGTGATGTTCCTCAGCTGTGGAAAGATGTAATTATCACTCCCATTCAGAAGTCCTCCAAGTTAAGCACACTAAACAACTTCCGCCCAATCAGCCTTGCCGCCACTCCTGTCAAGGTTATGGAGAAAATCATAAATGATAGACTGTTAGCTTGGTTTACGAGACTCCGCATCATCCCTCCAGAACAGCACGGTTTTATTCCGGGCTTATCCACCACGACTAACCTTTCAGATACCTTGTATGACTTTTGTAAGGCACTGAACGAAGGCAAATCGATTGATGTTGTTTACATTGACCTTTCTAAAGCTTTCGATAAGGTTTGTCACCACAAACTGTTGGCGAAATTGGAGAATCTGGGAATCCGTGGGAAACTTCTACATTGGCTCACTTCATACCTTTATGATAGGCACATGACTGTTAGAATCAAGTCTAGTTGTTCCAAGAGGTACTTCTGTGGTAGCGGTGTTCCTCAGGGCGGAGTGTTGTCCCCGTTGTTGTTTTTAATTTACACTATGGAGTTGCCTAACCTTCTCAAAACTTCCTGTGACATTAAAATTCAAATGTATGCTGATGATATCAAAATCTATGGTGTACTTGATCGTTCTAACTATGAAAGTGTTCGTGGTGCATTGAATCTTTCTATTCATAGAATGGTTGATTGGGCTGCCCATTGGGACATTCCACTGAACCTGAGTAAGAGTTCGGTTATGCACATTGGTAATCTTGGTCAGGCTGATTACTACATCAACGGCATCAGGCTCATGAGGTGTCAGTCAGCTATGGATTTGGGTGTGCTTTTTGACTCAAAGCTGAACTTCTACTCTCATATAAACCAAATTGTAGAGAAGGCCTTCGTCACTCTATTTGCGCTTTTCCGCAACGTGCAATCTTCGGATGCGGCAGTGCTCGTTCGTCTATACAAAGCCTACGTACTGCCTCGTCTTGAATATTGCTCACAGGTCTGGAGCCCGTATATCAAGAAGTATATCAGAAAATTGAGAAGGTTCAGCGTGTGTTC